CGAGCAATACAGAGTCAGTTTTGCGAGGACCCGACTTCGCCAGACACTAACTACGACGGAACAGGTGACGCTAGCGTAGCAGTATTTACTAGGACATTATACACTCTACATCTTTAGACGCCCGATGTCCACGATGGCTGCTGTAGTTAAAAAATGTAAATAATTTTTCGCGTTTTAAACCGTTAAAAGATTTTTTTTAAATTATTTAGTCCAATTGTATGTTATATTAAAGATTAATACTGTTGCAGTTCGCCAGAAACACCGTCCAAAGATAAAGATTAAACATCAGAAATTGTCACCCAACGGCGACTTAGAAGCCACCTGCCACAGTGCTGCTGCCTACCCCGCCCCATATCTCACTTGGCTCATCAATAACGTGAAGGTAATTCGTAAAATAGTTAAATATATTTTGGAAATAGAGAAAGATAATAAAGAAAAAAAATTCCGTTTGCCTTTGGTGGTATTGATTTTTGGGTCCGATTCACCTACTAGTAAATACAATTATTTAATATATATTATTGAATAATTGTTACTTTACCCAAACAGTTGAATAACTTTTTCCTACATGTTTATTTCGAAAATCAAACATCGATCGTTAACTCACTAATAAACTATTCGCAAATTCTAAACGGAGCTAACCCCGCTTCAGTTATTTGAGGATTTGCTGCTTAATTAGTTCGGGAGACAGCAGCTGTACACATGATCCATTTGTTTTGTGCAATCCACCGCAATTCCTCACTATCGGTTGATTGTTAGTCAATGTTTGGAATGATACGTTACAATTCGGTGACAGCTCGCAGGATTTATTCACAAATGCATCTTCGTTTACTCAGATTTGGGCGCAAATATACGCTAGTGGTAGTTAAGTTGTTGAGCTGCTTTGCCGTAGTTGAAAAATGGTCGTTAACGAATACGGCGGCTGAACAGCTAGAGAAACCGAATATAAATAACTAACTGTTCGCCACGTCGTCCGCGTCCCATCATTCTTAAGAGATAATTTTAGAAGATAAATAAAGATATATCGCGGACATTTTTCTAGATCCTTTAATGAGGAATCATTCTTATTCTACGTTTAATTTTGCTCTAAGAAATAGTTGACACTCGACTTGCAATGTGATTATAAAGATGGACAGGCAATGCTGCTTTGAATGCATTTGCCTGCTCATTGATGGAGTCCTCTACTGCGCCGCAACACGGATATACTTTTTATTTTCTTGAATCGTTTTCGCAGCGCACGCAATGGCATTCGCAAGGTCTCGTTATGTAGCCTAAAACATTTCTCGATTAGTGGTCTGTTCAACACAGAAATTTAAATTCAAACTAGTTCCTGAAATCAGCGCGTTCAAACCAATAAAATTCTTCAGCGTTTTAATATTACATTTGATTTGCCCAGACTTATTGCGAAACACAAAGAAGAAGATAGTAATTGTAAACATTTAAATAAAACACTTTAACGGTTTAAAACGCGATATATTAGTTAAACTTATTTGAAAATGATTTTTAACTTCGGCCCGACGTTTCGGATGCTTTGCAGCAGCCGTGGTCACGGGGAGACTAAAGATGGAGGATGTCTCAGACGTCAAAGTAAAGAATTGCTACGCTAGCGCCATCTGTTCCGTCGAAGTTGGTATTTGGCGAAACTGGCCGGGTCCTTACAGAATTGACTAACGGTGTCTTCGCGTTTGCTGGTATGCTGTTTATTGGGATCCAGAGTTTTTAATATGGGATCCCAGGTGTTTGATAGTTTGAGGCCGTCCTCCCTATTGAAATTTCGGTGTTTTTTGATTTCAATTGCTTCGCGTACCAATCTTGGAAAAAATCGACTCTCCTTTGCGAGGATTTTTGGTTGGTCAAAGCGAATGTAGTGATTGGGCCCTTCTGATGAGTGTTGGCATACCGCAGATTTGGAGAGACGTTTATGTTTTATATCCGCGACGTGTTCTTTAATTCTGTTTGAGATGCTACGCTTTGTTTGGCCGATGTAGGATAGGCCACAATCACAATCCAGTCTGTAAACGCCTGCATCTTGTAAAGGGATAGTACACTTGCTTGGTTTCAGGAATTGCTGAATCTTCTTGTGCGGCTTGAAAATTGTGTCAATCGAAGCTCGATTTAGGACTCTGCTAATTCTATCTGTAACTCCCTTCACATATGGTAGGTAGGCGGGCTGACGTTTGACTGTGGGTGGCTTGTTCCTGTTCCTGGGATGCTGCGGAGGGACTCTCAGCTTGTTCTTGCATAGGACCTGCTTGACATGCTGTAACTCCTCATTTAAGTGGGCAGCATCACAGAGACGGCGGGCTCTCTGAAACAAAGATACTCCGACAGAACTAAGTTGGCTGGGGTGGTGATGTGAGTCACCGTTCAAATACCTATCTGTATGGGTTGTTTTTCTAAAGACGGTATGCCCAATATTACCGTGTTCATCACGAATTACTAAAATGTCTAAGAAAGGTAGTGTGTTATTGTCCTCCTGTTCCATTGTAAACTTAATGTTATTGTGAATTGAGTTAAGGTGTGTAAGAAATGCAGATACTTGTGCTTTGGGTAAGATGGTGAAGGTATCATCTACGTATCGCTTGTAAAGCTTAGGTTTAACCGGGGAAGAAGCAAGGGCTCTCTCCTCAAAGTCTTCCATAAAAATGTCAGCAACTAAGGGTGAAACTGGAGAACCCATGGCTACCCCATCTACCTGAACATAGAAATCCCCATTCCAAAGTAGGTACCCGGTTGTCAAGCAATGTTCTAAGATATCCGCATATTCTATAGGCATGTTGTGTTTAATAAGTTTGCTCTTAATAATTTTGATACAATCAGCTATAGGTAAGTTTGTAAAGAGTGATGTGATGTCAAAGCTTACCATAACCTCATTGTCCGCTACCTTTAGACCTTTAATAGTTTCTACAAACTGATACGAATCCCTGACGTGAGCATTTGTATTTCCCCTGAGGGGGGCAAGTGTTCTGGATAAGTGTTTTGCTAGTTTATAAGTGGGCGAATCTATTTGACTAACTATTGGACGTAAGGGATTGTTTAATTTATGAATTTTAGGTAACCCGTACATTTTAGGTGGCTTCGGGCAGGCTGTGATGAGATGTTTGGCGTCGAGGTTTAGAGTCGTTTTGTACTTGTTAATAAGTTCCGACGTCTTTTTCATTACTTTGGTTGTGGGGTCCTTTGCAACCTTGTTGTAAACCGCGTCGTCATCAAGTATTTCCGACATCTTTTGTTTATAGTCCGACGTATCAATCACGACCGTGGCGTTTCCCTTGTCATCTTACCCAAAGCACAAGTATCTGCATTTCTTACACACCTTAACTCAATTCACAATAACATTAAGTTTACAATGGAACAGGAGGACAATAACACACTACCTTTCTTAGACATTTTAGTAATTCGTGATGAACACGGTAATATTGGGCATACCGTCTTTAGAAAAACAACCCATACAGATAGGTATTTGAACGGTGACTCACATCACCACCCCAGCCAACTTAGTTCTGTCGGAGTATCTTTGTTTCAGAGAGCCCGCCGTCTCTGTGATGCTGCCCACTTAAATGAGGAGTTACAGCATGTCAAGCAGGTCCTATGCAAGAACAAGCTGAGAGTCCCTCCGCAGCATCCCAGGAACAGGAACAAGCCACCCACAGTCAAACGTCAGCCCGCCTACCTACCATATGTGAAGGGAGTTACAGATAGAATTAGCAGAGTCCTAAATCGAGCTTCGATTGACACAATTTTCAAGCCGCACAAGAAGATTCAGCAATTCCTGAAACCAAGCAAGTGTACTATCCCTTTACAAGATGCAGGCGTTTACAGACTGGATTGTGATTGTGGCCTATCCTACATCGGCCAAACAAAGCGTAGCATCTCAAACAGAATTAAAGAACACGTCGCGGATATAAAACATAAACGTCTCTCCAAATCTGCGGTATGCCAACACTCATCAGAAGGGCCCAATCACTACATTCGCTTTGACCAACCAAAAATCCTCGCAAAGGAGAGTCGATTTTTTCCAAGATTGGTACGCGAAGCAATTGAAATCAAAAAACACCGAAATTTCAATAGGGAGGACGGCCTCAAACTATCAAACACCTGGGATCCCATATTAAAAACTCTGGATCCCAATAAACAGCATACCAGCAAACGCGAAGACACCGTTAGTCAATTCTGTAAGGACCCGGCCAGTTTCGCCAAATACCAACTTCGACGGAACAGATGGCGCTAGCGTAGCAATTCTTTACTTTGACGTCTGAGACATCCTCCATCTTTAGTCTCCCCGTGACCACGGCTGCTGCAAAGCATCCGAAACGTCGGGCCGAAGTTAAAAAATCATTTTCAAATAAGTTTAACTAATATATCGCGTTTTAAACCGTTAAAGTGTTTTATTTAAATGTGTACTACTCGCGTAAACTATAGACAGTATTTAATTGTAAACATTGTAGCCTAAGTTCAGTTCAAGTCTCGTATTGACCACGACTTAGTTGCCTAATTACATTCTCCCTTCACAGAACGTATAAATTACATTGTCCAGGTAATTCTTCTCGACAATGTTCCTCAATTAAAATCGGTGCCGTTTATTAAATAATTCTCTTAAACGCGCGCCGGTTGCGGTGAACCTTTTCATAAGCAAAGCAGGAACTTATTAAATTTTTACGTTCCGTGCTACTAAATACGGATTTGTTATAAAATCTTTTTTTAATGACTGAGGACGACGAGCATGGGGTTTATTCAAAGGAGGGTGAATTACCTCAACCATATAGTATCTCACAAGATCTCTCGACCATGAGTATTATCT